TCAAGACAAGTGAGTGCGTCTCTTCGGTACTCACACTCGGTATTTGCCAGATCTCCCACAGCTGACACAGCATTTCACATTTGCCCTCCTGTCCCATCTTTGCAACAGCCCTACTGTCCCCCCATTTTAGGGATGAGGAAACTGAGGCCCAGAGGGATACAGTGGCTTGTCCAACAGTCTGGTACCTCCTGATTTCATTCCACAAGTATCTGTGGGGCATATGTTCACGGCACCAGACTGGACATGGGGGACTTAGAGATAAAGAAGGAGAAATAGCTCCCACCCTCAGGGAGCCTCTGATCTCATAAGGCAGGAACAAGTCAGCACCACTCAAGGTGACGTGTGGCAGGTACTGGGGGCATCCCTCCCACTCACATTTAAAGCTGACCTGCTCTTTTCACTCAACATACACACACTGAACCTCCTCCATGGTCTCGACCCCCCAACACTGATGACTCCCAGATGTCCTCCCCACCCCCCAGAGGGAAGGCTTACAGAACCAGCTTCCTCTTGCCACATAGGGCATGCTTAGGGGGGCCGCCCTGCGTCCACTGTTTCCTCCACCAGTCTGTTCTTGGAGGCAGCCTCTCCACCAGCCCAGTCTCTTGTGTTGGATGGCTGTGTTGGTTGGTTGATCTTTATCTTCATCCACAGCATCCACTCAATTACTCAGTTCTACTGTTTCCAAATCTTAAATATTTCCCACATCCATCTCCTCCTCTTTAGCTCCCTCCCCAGTGCCCCAGATTGGCTTGGTCAAAGCTTCCTCCCCAGAATCAATGCATGGTCTCCTACGGGATTCCCTGTCTCCACCTCACCATCCTCAAAGCCATCTTCTAAAACACAAATCTAACCTAATCACTCCTGCTTCAAACCCTTCAATGGCTCTCCAATCATCCATCCACTCACCGATCAGAGCAGATGCTTACTGAGTATCTATTATATGGAAGGCGCTGCACTAGACACTGGCCCCTAGGGTAGCTCAAGTTGCTTTTAGTCTTATGGGAGACGGGAAAAGAAAAGAGAGGATTAGCTCCTAAGGAGAGTACAAGACATTAAGTTCTGAGTTCATAGGAGGTGACTTAGCCAGAAAAGCCTTTCTAAGCAGCATGATACTCTAAGATCAGGAGAAGAGAGAGGGGCAGCCAAGGAAGAAAAGAGTTTCTGCCTGTGGAAACAATACATTCTTACAGGCAAATGCCAGATAGAGAGAGCGCGCATCTGTAAGGAACTGAATGTGAGGAGGGTATGACCAGAGAGGGGACAAGCAGCTACAGAAATATTACTGAATCCATGCTGGCTCTGCTCACCGCACGACAGGCCAAAGAATCAGAGATGAGGTGTAGAGACAAGGAATATGACTTTATTCAGAGACCTGGCTGACCGAGAAGATGGCAGACTAATGTCTCTAAACAACCATCTTGTCGGGGCCTGGATGCCAGTTTTTTTTTATAGAACCAGAGAGAAAAGGGCTGAGGAACTCAAGTCAAAAGGCAGAATAAAGAGGGAGAGGCAGTAAGAAAGTAAAATAAAATGGGTCTTCAGTCTTGCAAAACATCTCCGGGAAGGAGTGTGTTAATCTCTTCCTTCCTGCAGCCTTCACAGGTGGGCAAGGTCAGATTATCTCCCTGTGAGCTACAAAGGCACTGCAGTTTAACAGTCAGGCAGAGGGACAGAGTCCTCTGAGGCATGCTATTATGTATGATGATAATAACAAAAGCAATGAAAAGCAAGTCAAAGAGAGTTCCATCATGGAGTCAGAATTAGCTTCTCCCTGGAACAGGAACTGCTGACTAATTAGAAGGAGCTGAGCACAGTCAGGGACAAATGTGACATGTATCTCAGTGCTTGGTCCTCATAATTTCCCCTAAATTATTTGTTAAAATGGATGGATGCACGGAGAGGTAGGTGGGTTGGGTGGATGGACACAGGAGTAGGCAGATGAATAAGATGGGTAAATAGAAGGATAAGGGGGTAGATGGACAGATGGGTGAGTAAATGGGTGGGTAGACGAGTGGGTGCATGAATGGATGGGTAGAGGGTTTTGAGGTCAGGTGCTGGGACAGACGATGGAGAGATCATTAACTCATTAATGGAAGCAGAAGAGTGAGAGGGAGGAATCATTATGGGCTCCTCTTCAGCCTGGGCATCTGTTTAAGTTACCTGAGCTGGCTGCAGAGGATCCTGCTTTGTCACCCAGGCCTTATAACAGCCAGCTCTCCCTTCTGCCACTCCCAGAGGAAAGGTACCCCTCCATGGAAACTGCATTTTGCCACTAGTGTCCCCTCTCTACCTGCTCTCCACAGAAAGCCTGCTCCCCAACAAAAGCAAAGGCACAGTGGATGCACGGTGTTCTGTAAATGGAAAAATGCGGCTGGAACAAAAGGACCAGGCCATACCAGGTAAGAGCCTTCCACGTGCCAGGAACATTTCTGCACATTCATTCTCTCTCTCACCACTACTCTCACCAGCACCCATTGTCCAGATGAAAAACCGAGTCTGCTCAAGATTCTAAATCCGTGTGGGGCCCTGAGGAGCTTGCAGGCACGAAAGACTTTTTTTGTCCCCCGCTTTCTTATAGGCAAGACTCCAGCCTCCACGATCATCCCTTAGTTCTGAAGGGCAGATTTGAACAGTTGCTAATCAAGAGAGGGGCAGCGGAGAAACCACCTCAGGCAAGATTATACTGGAGGAGAGAAGCTCATCGTTAGGAGACTGACCACCTGAGATGAAGTTAAGGGTGTGAAGGCAGGAGAAGAAGGGGACAACAGAGGATGATATGGCTGGAAGGAATCACCAGCTCAATGGACATGAATTTGAGCAAATTCTGGGAGATTGTGAAGGACAGGGAAGCCTGGAGTGCTACCGTCCATGGGGTTGCAGAGAGTCGGACACGACTGAGCGACTGAATAACTGAACGACTGAACAATGAAAATAGGCCCTGCTCATACCTAATCTTATCAGAGACCTCACCCTTGAACCACTAATAAAAAACCCTTCATCAAATCCTCTGGGGTTGCGACACATAGTTTTTCAAGGTGAGAGCCCCCAGTGTCCCTCTTTGTCTGGCAAAGTAATACAGTTATCCGTTTGTGTGTGTGTGGCAGTCACTCAGACATGTCCAACTCTTCGTAACTCCATGGACTGTAGCCCGCCAGGCTCCTCTAATCATGGGATTTTCCAGGCGAGAATACTGGAGTGGATCGCCATTGCCTTCTCCAGGGGATCTTCCCGTCTCAGGGATCGAACCCAGGTCTCCTGCATTGCAGGCAGATGCTTTACTGTCTTAGTCACCAGGGAAGCCCTTTATCCTTTTCTACTTCACCCAAACCTCTGTCTCCAGGATTCAATTCAGCTCCCGTGTAGAGAGAAGCTGAGCTTTCAGCAGTAATTCCGCAGCTGTGATGTAAGCCGGGGTTTCCATGGTGGCTCCGTGGTAAAGGAACCGCCTGCAATGCAGGACATGCAGGTTCGATCCCTGGGTCGGGAAAATCCCCTGGAGGAGGGAATGGCAACCCACTCCAGGATTCTTGCCCAGAAAATGCCGTGGACAGAAGAGCCTGGCGGGCTATAGTCCATGGGGTTGCAAGAGTCGAACTCAGCAACTAAACAACAACAACAAATGAGGCAAGCCAGGTTTTCAGCTCAGATTGGTCTGTGCTTTCCTTTACATCACACTTTCTGATCATCACAGTTGTTACAGAGCAACCACTCCCCACTTCCAGGCTTTGCCAGGCTCCAGTTCATCCAGATGCCACCAGGAGGCCAACAGGCTTGGGCCTGGGCCAGCTCCACCCCCACCCCTCCACTCCCACCACACCTGGCATGCCAACCATTTTCTCACCGCTCAAGGAGAGGAACCTACTGTGTGACCAGGGCTTGGATCCCCAAGGTGGAGGGGGTTGGGACAAAGAATCAAAACACAGAGCCGCTGTGTCTGCCTCACGTTACCATTCAGCTAAGAAACTGAGGGCCTTCCCTGGTGGCTCAGTGGTTAAAAACAAAAAAATCCCGCCTGCCAATGCAGGTTCGATTCCTGGGTTGGGAAGAGTCCCTGGAGAAGGAAATGGCACCCCACTCCAGTATTCTTGCCTGGGAAATCCCATGGACAGAGGAGCCTGGCAGGCTACAGTCCATGGAGTTTTGAAAGAATCAAACACCACTTAGTGATTAAACAAGAAACTGAGACACTACATGTGAAGCAACCCAACACCTAAGAGCAAACCTTTAGACAAATGCCCATCGGCATAGAGGCCTCCAAGGACTTGGACATCCAAGAGCAGTTAAATCCCCAAAGGCAGGAAGGGCTTCTGACTCGAGCTGGGAGCCCCATGCATGTTCTAGGCCAAAAGTGCCAGTGCTGCTGAGCAGGTGCATAAACAGTGGTCTAATCTGTCACCCCTCTCTTCCGAGTGGTGGCTTGATCACACACCCACAGTCACTCACGGGCTGGGCAGCTCTGCTGAGGTAGCCACCAGCACAGCGAGCTGGGGATTTCCTCCGAGCTGGGGATTTCCTCCGTGCCCAGCTTCCCTTCCCTTTGGCTGGTCAAACTTCCACACGCTTTAAACACTTCCTAAAAGTGCCCTTTTCAGAGGCCGTTGATGTCTCCTTCTGGGGCGGGAGGAGAATCAGACTGCATTTTCCCCTTAGTCCCCAGCTTTTCCCTAAATAGCCTCACTCCAGCAAAAGCAAGGAGACAACCTCAGTTCTAAAGCCCTCGTCACTGTTTCAACATTCAATTCCATCGGGAGCTCACAAAGGCACTGTGAGTCGGTGGGGCTGGCACTGTGAACCTATTTCACAGAACCTGAAGCCCAGAGTGGCTAACCTAGTTGCTCATGTCCATACAGTAAATTGGGTGGATCTGAATCCAGAACCCAGGCCACTAGGCAACAACCCGCTGCCTTTGAGCTCTTTCCATCCTAAATCACAGCAAGGAATGCACTTGACACATAGAGACACCAGAGACACATGGACCCGGAGCAGTAGGTACTTACCTTATCACTGGTGATGCATTCGGATCATTTCTACCCTATTTTGTTTTTCTAAGGATCGTGAGCTGATAAATCGATTTCCTGACCAGCTCTTGTGTCAGGATCCCACCCCTGTCTGCCCAGGCTCCAGGCCCCAGGAAGGGGACGGTCGCTGCTGCCAGGTGGGGAGGAGCAGACAGCGAGGCAGGGAGCGGCAGCCTCGGGAGATCTGGGTCCTCTCAGACTCTGCGGGCCGGCCTGAGCTCAGCCCTCAAACCTCCACCAGCCGGCTTCCTCCGGCGCTTGCAGAGGAAGGACCCCGCAGCCAGGACCCAAGCTCCCCCTCCCGCGATTTCCCGAAGGCCACGCCCCCGACAGGCCACGCCCCCTAGCTCAGTCTAGAAAATCCCAGCGGGAGGCTCTGCCCATTCCCGAGCCGAGGCAGGATCATGTGAACTCGGAGCTAGTGTCAGGCTGGGTGGCTGTTGAGGAAAGCTCGCCCACCACTGGATGAAGGCGGTGGGACAGCTCCCTCCAGGCGCCCTAAGCCTGCCTTCCATACACCCCAGACATAGTAGACGACCTTGCTGAGAATGCTAAAGCCTCCATGAGGGGCAGGGACTCCAAGGATTTGGGGGGATTCAGGAGGAGCCGGGTGTGCTAATTCTACCCACGCAACCACCTTTGAGCACCTGCAAGACACCAAGAAATTCAGGATGTTGAACCCCTGAGCCAGAGGTCTTGATTTGAGTCAGACAGGCTGACGCTCAGATAACTAGAAAGTACCACAGACCTGCCTGCCAATGCAGGAGACCGGGGTTCAATCCCTGGGTTGGGAAGATCCCTCGGAGGAGGAAGCGGCAACCCACTCCAGTACTCTTGCCTGGAAAATCCCATGGATGGAGGAGCCTGGTGGGCTCCAGTCCATGGGGTCACAAAGAGTCGGACACAACTGATCGACTAAACAATAACGACAGACACGAGAGAGACAGGAAAGCAGACACAGTGGAGGAAGCTGACTGTTTCCACTCCCACCCCCAGGCTGTCACCCTTCAGCAGCCAGCATCTGGGTCAGTGGGTCACAACTACATGAGCCAAAAACTGGGCAGCTTATAAAAAATAACACCACTGCCCGGGCCCCTCCCCAGACGAATTAAATCATATTTTCTGGAGATGAGAGCGACTAGCACTTCACTTCAATCTTAAGTTGCAGCATTCAAGATCTTCAGTCCTCATGGTGGCATGTGGGATATTTAGTTGCGGCATGCAGAATCCAGTTCCCTGACTAGGGATTGAACCTGGGCCCAGACTCACTGGAAAAGACCCTGATGCTGGGAAAGATTGAGGGCAGGAGAAAAAGGGGACAACAGAGGATGAGATGGTTGGATGGCATCACTGACTCAGTGGACATGAGTTTGAGCAGACTTCAGGAGATTAATGAAGGACAGGGAAGCCTGCAGGCATGCTGTAGTCCATGGGTTTGCAAAGAATTGGACATGACTTAGCAACTGAACAACAACCTGCATTGGGGGCATACAGCCTTATCCTCTGGACCACCAGGGAAGTCTTGAGCACCCATGTTTTTAAACAGCAGGGCCCCGAGCGGCTCTGGCTTCATGGGGTCTTCTGGCTCTCAGGACCATTTCCTAAACTCCCTCAGCCCAGCAGAGCCGACAGGATCCCTGGAGGTGACCTAGCCCAGCCTGTTCCCTTTACAGATGGGGAAGCTCAGGCCCAAAGGGGCAAAGGCTCTAGACACGTCTTACTAAGTGATAGAGCCATGATTCTCCAAATGGCCTGCCGTGCTATTTCAGTTTAACCTCCTCTCTCCGTGGAGTCTCCTTGGAAGCTGACTGCAAGAACATTGCTGGAGTCAGAAAACCGATATCCACCACGGGGGTTGGGGGTGGGGGACTGAGGATGTGCATTCTCTATTTTGTTGGGTGATTTGTGATTTCATATTCTCCAGGGAGTGAACTGCTACAGTCCTACTGGGAGGCTGTACTGGTAGCGGGCCCAGGAAAAATGCTCCTCTGTGGGGCCTCCAAGCAAATGCTCCTCCTCTGTCCAGTACAGCAGAAGCCTTGTCACAGTGCAGCAGTGTGTGTGGACACAGAGTGGAGAAGTCTGTGGGCTCTTCCTGATGCCGTATGAAAGGACAGATGGGGAAGGAGTGCAAGATTGACCTAAGCGTAAAAATCTGGCTACCCTCAGGATACACCCAGCAAAGAGAGCACCCCTGACTCTCTTTACAGGGTGGCCCAGCCTAACAGGATGCATACACACAGGCTGTCTATACCATCAGCATCCATGCCTGCAGGACCACTGATGGCAGTGGGTACCCCACTTTCGCCAGGGACCTCCCATCTCCCTTCCTATTGGGCCTTTGGAACTGCAGATGGAGAGATGACACTGACTTCAGATCAGTGAGCCCAGATCCTCTGTGAAATGCCCGCTCAGGAAGAGAAAAAAGAACCTGTGTGTATTCTACTTTGGTGCTGATTTTTTTTTTTCTTTAATATAAAACAGGAAGGAAGGACTAGAAACCACGATGACATCAAGCACCAAGCAGTGGTCTGATGTGTCCTACAGACTCCATCGTAACCTCAGTCCCCCCACAACTTCTCCAAGTAAACCTACAACCAAGTAAAAGCAGTGAGCTTGTGATTAAAATACCACCTCAGGAGAAGCCCACCTCTCCCCGTTCAGACTTCTCTCCTTAAGCCTAAAGTGGGCATAATGTCGGAGCTGCCACCGTTGAGAGGGAGGCATCTGGTGAGGGGTGAGAATGCCTGAGTCCTCTAGGATTCCAGGGCTGCCTCTGTGGCTCTTTCCTGCCTGGAGAGACATAAGGGCCGAAATTGGGCCAGGCTTACCACCTGAATTCATTGGCTCAGTCTCTCTCTTCCAGCCTCAGGAGAGCAGTCATGAAGCGCTGTAGACCCACTGGGATGACAGCCCCGGAAACCTGGATGAGCCCCCTTCTGCACTGTGCTTAGTCGTTCAGTCGTGTCTGACTCTTTGTGACCCCATGGACTGTAGCCCGCCAGGCTCCTCTGTCCATGGGGATTCTCCAGGCAAGAATACTGGAGTGGGTTGCCATGCCCTCCTCCAGGGGATCTTCCCAAGCCAGGGATCGAGCCCAGGTTTCCCGCATTGCAGATGGATTCTTTACCATCGGAGCCACCAGGGAAACCCAGGATGAGCCCTGGGCATCTCTATTGTGTCCTCAGCATAAACACCTGCTTCACGAACCTAGAGGCTTGGAAGGGCTGGTGGACTTTTCTGGGCTACTCTAGAGGTCACCAAGAGGGTAACAGGGCCTCAGACCACAAAGCCTTTGGGCATCTACTGCTGCTCCCCTAGAGGTCCAGACAGCCTGGGAGTCATCAGAGGGAGGGTTCTGGAGTGGGCCCTGAGCTGGTGACAGAATGCAAGCTCCTCCAGCACATGGCAGTCACACAGAGCGGTTAAGAACAGAAACTCTGGGCCAGACTGTGGAGGTTAAGTCCTCATGCTGCTACTTACTATGTGACCTTGAGAAACTCCATTCTTGGATGACCAGTTGGCACTTGTGAGAATCAAAGATGAGGTCCAGCAAATGCCTGGCACATAGTAGGTCAGTGGTAGTGAGGATGCAGTGATGATGAGAATGGTGGTGGTGACGGTGATGGCCCCACTCCCTTGAGCTGGAAGGTCCTGCCCCTCCATCTGAGTCTCCCTAGAGAGGGTTAAGGATGGGCAGGCCAGCTTGGTAGGATGCTTGTCATGGTGTCCACTGTATTCCCCACAGGTACTCTACTGATATGGGGCTAGCTGGGGTAAAGGTCTTGGAGGCTCCCCAAGGGCTCCGAAAAATAGAAGAAACGTCTATCATGAGATGTCTGCTGTTTGACTGCAGGGAAGACTTGTGCACTGAAAACTGGTCTTGGCCTTCCCAGCCTCACGCTGCAGCACACACCTGCATCAGAGGAGCTGATGCAAGGCACTGCACTGCTCTAAGTTCCAAGTGGCCACGTATGAATTAGGATGGCTTCAAGGACCCAGAGAAGGACCAGCAGAGAACCTCCCATAATGCCTGGCTCTGCTGCCCTCCCTCGTGGGGTCAGAAAAGGGGCGGGAGCAGCTCAGGATCAGGGAGCACAGGAAGTGCCATTTTGGAAGCACGTGCTGAGTGCCTTCCAAATGTCTTCCGTTTTAACCTTCACCTCCACTCTCTTTGATAGGCAAGGCAACTGAGACTCAGAGGGGCCCAGCATCTTGCCCAGGGTCACACAGCAGGCAAAATGCAGTGCGGTTTGACTCCAAAGAGAGGGCTCTAGGCTAGCTTCCTGTTGCTGCTGAAACAAATTACCACAAATTTAGCTTAAGACAATACATATTTCTTATAGTCTGGTGGCCAAAAGTGGGTCTTAACGAGGGCTTCTCTCTTTGCTCAGTGGTGAAGAATCTGCCTGCCAATGCAGGAGACATCAGTTTGATCCCTAGTCTGGGAGGATCCCACATACCTTGGAGCCACTAAGCCCATAAGCCACAACTACCGAGCTCTAGAGCCTGGGAGCTGCAACTACTGAAGCCGGAGCACCCTAGAGCCCATGCTCTGCAACAAGAGAAGCTACTGCAATAAGAAGCCCTCACACCACAACTAGAGAGTGGCCCGCATAGCAACTGAAGACGCAGCACAGCCAAAAGGACATAAATAAAATTATTCAAAAAACAAAAGAGTTGGGACTTCCCTGGCGGTCCAGTGGTTAAGACTCCGTACTTGGAAAATGCAGGGGAACTAAGGTCCCACATATTGCAAGGTGTGGTCAAAAAAAAAAAAAAAAGTGGGTCTTGCTGGGCTAAAATCAAAGTGTCAGCAGGCCTGCCTTTCCTCTGGAGGGTATGGGGGAAAACCCACTTCCTTGCCTTTTCCAGCTTCTAAAGGCTTCTGGCATCCCTTGGCTTGTGCCCCTTTCTGCCTCCAAAGCCAGCAGTGGCAGGCTGAGTCCATCTCACATTGCACCGCACTTACCTCTGCTCCTATCTTCACATCTCCTTCTCTGCCCCCCCACCCAGCCCCCTCTCCCTATTACGGGCCCTGTGATCACACTGGGCCCACCTAGATAATCCAGGACAATCTCCCTATTTGAAGGTCAGCTGATTAGCACCCTTAATTCCACCTGCTACCTTAATGTCCTTTTGGCATGTAAGGTAACATATTCA